TTGATAAAAATTAGGGTTGGGCGATGTGTTCAAAATTGACATCGGACGATGTCTACATCGATGACATCGTGATGGACGATGTCATCAAGTGGGCAGCAGTCGTCTTATGTGCATGTGTTCTCGCACAGACTTCACTCAGTAAAAAAAAATCGGTAGACTATTAACTTAAGTTACAAGTCGCGGTGGATATTTGACACAGGGACCAGGTAAAGCAGCAGTGAACACACAGAGTGTAGATGTTGGTTTCATTTTTCATTGTCTGCTGCCGTGATACCGGATGACGACTTTTAGGCGACTGCTGAAGGAGAAAATACAGCAGAGGGGCTGAGGTCCGACACTTGGCTGTGCTCCATTGACTAATGCAAAAGGCTTCGTTTTCTAGCTTTCATTTGCCGTATTTTTCCAAGATATGGTCAAACACTGTTCCTGGGGCACTTGTAATAAATACAATCACTACTCAAAGAGGTTAAAAGGAGAAGCATGATTTATTCTCTTTCCAAAACCTAAAACAAATCCAGAAAAATGTAGGCTGTGGATTGTTCCTTGTGGGCGCACGGTGGTGCAGTGCTTAGCACTGTCGCCTCACAGCTAGAAGGACTGCGATGGACTGGCGACCTGCCACCCCCCCAACCCTGTACTCAGGATAAGCGGTCGACGATGGATGGGTGGATTGTTCCTAACTTAACAGCTACAACTGAATGTAAGACGTTAATGATTTTAATAGTGAATAGAGACCTACCCAGCAGTACAAGAACAGTGTTGATCCTTAATATCGTTGTCCTCTTTCTCAATAGTCAGGTGATATGGTGGTTCACTTTTACTCCGTCATCGGTAGGCTTTAGCTTCTATCAGTATTTTTCACGTCAGTTTGAGTCTGTTTGACAGCCTGGATACAACCTTCAAATGCACAATGCAACTGCAAAACTGTCTGCTTATTTCTGAGATTGTTTTTTCCAAAAATTAGACAATATGTCTCCGTGCAGTAATAAACAGTGGCAGCGCCGTGCTAAAAGTCAGTCAGGTCCGATTTGTTTGTCGGACGGCAACAGTAACTAAGGGTCAATTCACCAGCATTTAGCAAATGCTTTATGTTGGCTATTGATGAAGTCAGCAGTTGTTGGTAATCTCAAATCCATCTTGTTACCCCCCTCTGTAACTTCATATGACTGTGTTTATTTTATTGTGAATTTTTTTTTAAAGCACTCTCTGTTTTCCACACGCTGGGTCTATGAGGGAGTAACAGGGTGCTGAATCAAGAATAGGTGTATTTCTTTGCTATCATGTTTACTATTTTACCTAGCAAGCTAGCCAGCACAATGAGAGATAGCTTTTGAGGAAATGTTTGCTGATTACATTCTTTCTGCTGTTGCCAACCCCTCATTGTAATTTTCGTGTCAAATATAAGCGCTGAAGATGATTATTCTTCAAAGTGAGGTTGAGAGTCTGATTTTCTCTGGTTGCTATTGAAGCAGAATTGGGGGTTTCATGGTGTAGAAAAATGTGTCTTCAGCTCTCCTTTAAACCACAGAGAGCTTAAAAATAAAGATGTGTTATAAGTGAGCCACGACTTTTCACAGGTCATCCTGCTCTGTTACTGCAGTGAGTTCTCTTCTCTCTTTGTCCATCCGCTCTGTCTTACTTTTACTCCCTTTCTCCTCACCACTTCCCTGTCTTTCTTTATTCCTGCCTCTCCCTCTGTGGATGTAACTTCCTATTTTCAGTTTTTTTCCTCTCACGCCCGTCACATTCCCTCTTCCTTACTTTCTTCAAGTGTCTTCTCCCAACTTTCTCTTTGTGTATCTCCCCCTCAGCACTTGGAGTGCCTTAGCTCTTCTCCCGTACGAGCCTCCAAACAGGCAAACAGTCATGCAGCTCTCCTATCGCAATATAATGAGATTGGGAGCACCCAAATTGAAAGAAGCCATTTTCTACAGCTGTCAACTTATTATCGAGGGGGGACCAACTTATTCCAGTACCTCTGAAGGCAGAGGAGGAGAGAGGGATGGAGGTGATGGAGGGATGGATGGGAGTGGGTTTGAAGTGAGGGGGGTACTGGGGGAGGAGGTGGATGAGGAGCTCAGGGGTGAGCTGTTTTACATTTTGAATGTTTTCTTTTTTCCCACTCAGTCTCTTTCTCTCTGGTATTTCAGTTTGGTCACTAGTGCAGCCTTGAAGTCCAAGCCTTTTATTCACCATGTTCCTCTTAATATTTTAAAAAGCAGCATGTAAGGCTCTCTGGACCTGTGTTTATTGAATACATGACACTGTTTGAGCCAGCCTGGTATCACCAAATGGCGTATGAATAAAGATATCTCATTTTGCGTGTTTACACAATGCATTTTTTGCTTTTTGCATGCCATTTTACGCAATTTAATCAGCAGTAACTAATATAATGTGCAGAGATGGCCTGTCATTTTACGTGCCAATATCAAAGAGGAAAAAAAAAATCAGGTCATGTAATACAAAGTCTGTGTAAGGAGGTGGTTGAGGTGGATAAATGGGTTAAACAAACACGGGACTTTCACAGAGCAAACTGTTCATCAACACTGACATACATAGGTTAACTTACCCCAACCGTGATCCTTTCCTTAACCTAAACAAGTAGTTTTGGTGCCTAAACCGAACCAAACTGTGATGTTCCACCACATTAACCATGTGTTTATTATTGTTACCATGCTGACGAAGGTCACCTGATGAAGGTTACCTGACTTCGTCCTTCATGTTTCAAACTTATGAAATGTTCAAGTTGTTAAATGACACATGAAAAGCTTCAAATGCGTAAACATGACATGCTTTTAAACGCAATCCCATGATATCACATTGAGCACCCCTCAGTGTGTGTGACAAACCCTCTTCATGACAATTTATATGCAAACAGTAGGCATATTGTGTCCGAGGGAATGGTTGTCGTTCTCTTTTGGACAGACTTCTGCTGGTAGAAACTCTGATTTAAAATTCAAGCATTAAGGTGTTGCTTTTATCCACTTTTATCTGAAATGGGTTCGTCATTCGTTTATTGTAAACTACACGGAGGATCACTGGCACAGCACGAAAAGTGGAATGAGGTAAAGTTCTGGTGATGCACGTCCAACGTGGCCATAAAATACTGTAACGGTCATATGCACAGCCAGTTGCAGGCACGGAGCTGTACAGAAATATATTCTTTTTAGCAGAAGGCAAGCAGCTCATTCCCTACGACACATTAACGGACATGAGCACAGCATGCCCCACATATTGACGCCTCAATCTCATCCTTTAAATGTCACACATCTAGCGATGGCCTGTGAGGTTGCAGAAATGGTTCAGGAGGTTTTGAAGATGCCATGCACAAGCTGTCAGACCTCACCAGCATCTGCCGGGTCTGATGAAAGCCTTACAGGCTAGGACATACTTTCTGTAGAGTTGAATTTGTCCTTATTTCCAACCAGGACAGTTGATATTACTTGACATCTTTCTTCATTTGTAAAATCAGATTTCATCCAGTTTAAGGACATTGAACTGTAAATAATACTCTTTTTGTTTGATTCTTTTCGACCCTAATTTTGCTTTAATTCTGCACAAAGATGATTTTCTGCTCTGTTTGTGCCTTTACAGTGTGTTGTATTGTGTTGTCAGCTTGGTACCTCAGCCAAGGAGGCTTTTAGTCCCGTGAAGTTTGTTTGCTTTTTGTCTGTTAATTAGCAGATATCTCAAAAAACATTTTACAGATTTCAGTAAAATTTGGCAGAAATTTAGGCCTTGGGCCAAGAAGGAACTGATGAGATTTTGGTGCAGATAGCGTTGAGGTGTGATCATTTTTCTTTTTTCAAATTATGTTTTCAGGCATTTTAATGCCAGTTAAAACATTTTTTCTCCTGGATTCCTTGGATCAAACAAATCCATCAGCATAAGTTTGCAAGTTTGATAGCTTTTCAACAACAACAGACGTCATCCAGTCTTTACCAAATTTGGCACACAAAAAAAAAAAGTTTTTTGATTCACCATTTGCTTGTTTTCTGTCATTGTTTGCCAGATGGGTTTAGGGGTTAGGTGTAGCCTAACACATCAGAGTGTGTTTACAGGTCATGAGAAGTCTTACTGCAAATGTAAAAAAAGTTGCATAGTTGAAAGGCTTTTGTGGCTCCAGAGGGGAGCTGTGTGAAGTCTGATGAATTGCCTTAAGTGATGTCACTTGAGTCAGCATCGGTTGCGTCTGAAGACCATAAGTTTGAAATATATCTGGGCGTGTGGCGTTAGAAAGAAGTAAGCTTACCAGACCTCGGAAGCCCGTTCCTCTGTAGGCGTAACACACACAAATCTTCGACCAAACTGACTATAGGCACCAGGTTTTGACTAGGAAGAAGAATGTGTGGAATAAAAATGGCAATATCTCTGGCTCTGCTGCATCTGAAAAAAACTATCCATTGTGAGTCCAATAGTGTTATAGGAGTGCATGGCTTTCAAAATATACTACTAATGCATAAACACATTGCGCAGTTGTCCCCATACTCTGAGTGTTCCTGCAAAATTAATCAAATAATTAATCAGTAACACCTTTAAGCAGTTGCACAGAACCAATCCAACACATTTTATTACCAGGGGCTGAACTGCACTGTTTTTGTGAGTTTTCTGTTGGCCCCCCACTGTAGCTTTCTATTTGTGTGTATTTGTAGCTGTGGTTTTGTGTATCTACCGTCTGTATAGCAGACGGAGTGACCTTGATGTCCGCACTCAGCAGGAAGACACTAGAGAGGAGTGATTAACAGGAGAGAGACAAAGAGAAGCGAGAGAAGTGCAAAGACAGATGAAAAGGAACAAAACAAAAAAGAAGTGTGGCGAGAGATGGGCAGAGTGTGAAAGTTAAATATGCAGCGGAAAAAATTAAAATGAAAACTTACATTACAAAAGGAGAGTGAGAGAGTGAAGGAGAGATGTAAAAGAATGAAAAGTGGTGAAAGTAGGGTGGAGTAGAGGAGTGACTCACCACACATCTATTCTTCTTCTTCGTCTTCTCCCTACAGGCAATCTGGAGGTGCAGTCATCAAGAACAGGTAAGAGGGAGGGCGAGAGATGGGAGGGAGGAGGGGGGTGAGAGGAGGGAGGAACAAAGAGAAGAATATTACACTGAATGGTAATCAAACTCACACTTGTGCAGGTGAGAAGATACAGTGCGTACGTCGCCCTCACAGTGAAATATGTGTTATTGTACTGCGTGTGTGAGCGTGTGTGGTTTGAACAGTGTTGCCAGCTCAGAACGCTAGAACTGCATCTCCACGGCTCGCCTACACGCACACAAGCACACACACGCACGCACACACAACATAACTGCCCATGACTGTCCACACACTGCCCCTTTTGACTTACACACATGCACATACGCTCAGTTGTCTGCGCAGCTTGAAGTTTGCGGACACACACACACACACACACACACACACACACTTAAAAAAACAAAAACAAACTTGCCCTACACCTGTCCATGAAAGTCCACTTAAAGCCCTTCCTCTTTTGACTCACACACACATAACCACACACAAAATGCTGTGCTTTTGGCGTCCTGTTTCCCTGCTAATGTTGGACTGTTTTCCCACCTTGTCCTTCACCTTTGACCCCCACATGCCACCCTCCCTCTTTCTATTGTCCTTCCTCCTCCCCACTTTTCTTTCTCTCAGTCTTGGTGAAGAGTTCTATAAGGAGGCCATCGAACACTGTCGCAGCTACAATGCCCGTCTGTGCGCCGAGCGCTCCATGCGTCTCCCCTTCCTGGACTCCCAGACCGGTGTGGCCCAGAGCAACTGTTACATCTGGATGGAGAAGAACCACCGTGGACCAGGTGTGTGTCTCTCTTTGTGTAAGGTGTGTGTTTGATATACCTGGGCAGAATAAAGTGGCAAGTGGCTGGCTGAAGCGCAGGGAGCACTCCGGAGCACTCCTTCTTGTTGCCGTGTGCGTTGTGTTTGCCAGATGTTTTCATTTTTCTCTCCAGTCATTAGTCTCGTGGCTTCCTTCCTTTCTCTGCTCTGCTTGTGTCTGTCTCTCTTTCCTTCCTCTCTCCTCTCCCTCATTTCCTCCTCCTCTTCTCTAGGCCTCCTACCTTTCAGAGCTCAACTTTTTTTGTAAACTTTCCCCAAAGGGTGTTTCCTCATCGCTTTCTCTTTCTCTGTAACATCAGTGTGTTTTGGCAGTGAATCAGACACCCCTGTAGGCAATGATACGCCGCTGGCACCAACTATTCTAGAGAGAATGTGTGTGTGTGTGTGTGTGTGTGTGTGTACTTGTGCATGAGTGTGTTTACGATATGAGTTTGTAGACTTTGCCTCGTGTCTGGCAGTGCAATTCTTGTGTTTGTTTGCTTGTTAGTTAGTTTTTAGTTAAAATTATATTTTTTGTGAATTTATCATTTGAAATTATAAATATAATATATTAAACACATATTGTGTTTAAGATTGTTCTACATACATAAGTACATAAGATAAGATTTCTATTTGGCTAATTTCAGTAATTGTTTAATGGCTGATTATTCAACAAGTTATTTTAAAAACTTTATTATTAATAACACATTTTGGTTTGGTTGGGTTTGGAGACATAATCAGTTTAGACTAAAATATCTCAACAACTACTATATGGATCAAGATCAAATTTTGAACATAGACATTCATGTTCCCCAGAGGATAAACACTGATTTCTCCTATATCGCCACCTGCAGGTTGACATTTGTAGCTCAGAGTGAAATATCTCGATACATTCATGTAGCTTCTGAAAATATCTTTAGTGATCTGATATCTGAAAATAACAAATGTCATTCCCCTTATCTTCTGCTGTACGTTGTATTTCGCTATTTGGCAAATGTTAGCATTCTATTAAAGTAAATTAAGATGTGTTAGCGTTTAGCCCAGTGCAGCCTCACAGAGCCACTAGTGGGTCTCTTGACTCTAAGTCAAGTTTAATGATGTAAAACACAAAAATAAGACAATGTAGACACACATAAGGCTAATATTCTAGCACGTGACACTGACTATCTATTTATGTTATGATCCCTTTTTGTTCCTACTAAAAAGTGTAGAAGAAGAGTTTTGTGTCACATCAAGTGTTATTGCTGTTTCTAGCCAGACATGCGGTCTGTAAATTGAGAAGAACGGCACATAAAGTTCCAACTTTGACAAAATCAACTTGTGGTATTACCGCAGTACAGTTTTTTTTTTCAGAAAAAGGAGTGAACCAAGAGCTAAGGAACATAATTATTACCTGAAGTGATAGTTCGGTGTTACATTAGTAAGTCCTATAAATGAGCTGTGCGTTCCTCTGTGTTTCAGGTCATGCTCCAGGTCAGTTGTACACATATCCTGCTCGCTGCTGGCGCAAGAAAAGACGGCTAAACATCCTGGAGGACCCACGGCTTGTACCGATCGAGTTCAAGATTGGTAATTAAAGAGCAATTTTAATAACTTTTACCACTGACAGAATTGTGAAATCAGTGTCGGTTTGAAAAATCATCTTCACTCCAAATTGCCTGACAGGACCATATGTCTATAGCATATGCTATATATTCTGTATCAGCTTGTACAACTATCATTGAAGCTATATTATTTCATGAACACGTCCCCAAAATTCAGCCTGACATATCTGATGGATTGAATACTTTGAGAATTTAAAATAAAGCTCTTTAGGTTTGAGCAACGTTTGGCTGCACACCATGCTTGTATAATAACTGGCTCACCAGCAGGTCAGTGGGTCAAGATGTATCCAGCAGAAAATATCACCACTTCCTCTTTCTTCTAACTTCGCAATAACTTTTACACTTAATGGCTCACGGCTCTGTTCACGGTTCTGTGTCATCACTGAGCTCTGTGTTAATATCAACATTGAAATAAAGTTTTATTTATGGTCATAGTTATTAGTTAATACCACAATAATTTGCATATTTTGCTAATTGACATTCTGCAGCAGGTAGGTTTTATGAAGAGAAAACACTTCCCACAAGCAACACACAATCATGTGATGTATGAGACAAATTGCAGATGATCAATTCAGCGTCTGTACATCGCAAAAGTCCTTGTGCTGTCATGAACCAGCCAAATTTTGTTTCCTCGGGGCATTGTCAGCTCAACTGAGCATGTCAGCATGACTGTGAGATCTCTGCTGTTTTCTGATTGTAATTGTCTCCTTCTCCAGACTACGAGGCCTCTCTAAAGAAAGAGGGGGGGATCCCAGACGGTCCTGTGTTGGAGTCGCTGCTCGCTGGGGAAACCCTGGACAAGAAGGTAGAAACCAAGGAAGAAGAGCCAATGAGCGAGTGTCAGGTGAGACTCTTGTTTCCTTTTTCTTCCCTCTCTTGTTGTCTTTAGCACTTTGTTAATCTCTGTCTCTCTGTCCTTGTTGTTTCCTTCTTATGTCAGGCTGTCTATCCCTTTTTTATTGGTCTATATTACCCTCTGTGTTTGTGTTTCTTTGTCTGTCTCTGCCTTTGTCTCTCTTGGAGCGTGTGTTTTGGCGGTGACACAGGCTCCCGTGGCTCTGACAACTCCCTCCTGGCACAGAGTGTGTGCATGCTTGTGATTGTATGTGATTGCACTGCAGCCGGTCTTGGTGTTTTACAGGGATTCGGCTCAGGTGTTTTACAGACCGACCTTGTGAACTATGTGAAAGACAATTGAGGGAAGCTGATCCACCTCTTTGCTCTTCAGCATCCTCAGCATGTTGCACTCAGTATCTTCTGAGCAAAAACTTAATGCTCATCTGGAGTATTTTACCAGTTAGAGGCAGCTGCTCTCGAATTCAGATGGACAGCTAATCAATCAGCAGTTGAGTGAATGACCCTCACAGTGGCCTTTGAGAGCTAGAGTAATGTTTAGGGCTTCTAATCCAGGGCTTGGAGGCTCACCCAGGCAGGCATTACTTCAACACACTTTACTCTTCACCTTACTCCTATCTTGCTAAGACTGTTTATGGCTAACATAGGTTAATTAATATAAGAGATTGTGTTATGCGTATTCTTTTTGCAACACTCAAAATCAGATTGTCTTCTAACGTAAAGCTGTTGTTTTCCTACACTAAGTACCAAAAAGCTAAACGCCTCTTGCCTCTTGAATTCTGAATTCAGAGTTAGGGGATTCTCCTTGCAATTTAGTGTGGTGTAGGCTACCCCTTTAATTGAGAAAGTCGTAAATCGAATAGTTTATTGCAGCGAAATGATGACACAATTGGCTATTTTAGTGCTAATGATTCTGCTCTTACGGTTGTTTCCTGCACAGGGATTATGCAAACACTCTCAAAACCAGCAGGGAGACATGCAATTTTGTGATCTCCCATGGGCCTGTGCAGAACAGGGTGCAAGTAGGTAGACGCTGATATGGCTGAGGGGAAAGGAAAGAAAAGAGAAGAAAAGGTAAAAATTAATGTAACTGAGTAGTCTGACAGTCCATCTGTCTCTCGCTCGCTGTATCTCATCCATAGAAGCTGCTGGTCGGGGATTTCCCTCATGAACTGGAGGTGGACGAGATGGAGGAAGATGTCCCAAAACGCAAGAACCGTACCAAAGCCCGTGTAAGATATCAATGACATTTTATAATTCATCTCATTTCATACTGAGCTAACAAGCCAAAAAGAAATTGTTTGGCTGTTAGTCCATAGGAATGAAGCTAGGGAAGCCAAAGTCTGCAATGATGACCAAAATCAAGCTCAGAGTCAATCTGTGATGTGAAAGAGTGTCAGACACAGATTATAAGGAGTTCTGATTAGATTACACTATAAGGTTAGTGCCCATAAATTATTCTGATGTACAAAACTTATAGGGAATCTGCTGCATTTGTGCAACCCATACAAGCATAGTATAAGAGCCCTCTGTTGCTATTGTCAAATGAATACTACAAGCATTAAATCAAAGCTTACAGGATATTTCAATATGTACATGGGGAAATTGTACTATTCGCATCTACAGAAATTTTACAGTTTTCTAATCCCTGGTCTGAGGTTATGATAGATTTATTCTATTTCATATAGAGAGTTTGACTTTTACATATGGAATCAATTTGTGCTTTGTCTGTTTTCTTGAATCTGTAGTGGAATCTGATCTGAAAAACCAACAGCTTACGGAGAATACATCTTTGATTAGATAGCCCCCCCGACACACACACACACACACACACACACACACACACACACACACACACACACACACACACACACACGCACACACACACACTTTTTGGGCATCCTATGAGAAGATAATCAAGTGTTAACAATGTATTCTGAAAGTCATCACACACACACATACACATGCTCACACACAGACACCAGGGTTGCTAATTGGAGCTGTTGCTCCCCTGCTAGGTGTCATCAGCCCCCCTCCAGCTAGAAGTGGAGCTTTACACTGAGAGCAGATGATTAGAATGCAAACGTTTGTGCGTGTACATGTGTAGACACTTGAACTCACAAGTGAGGCGTGCGCTGTTACGCTCTTTTTATTGTGAATGTGTGTGGATACAGGACTTGTGTGACAAGTGTGGAAGTTCAAACTTTTTGTGTGCATGTGATATACATCTGTGCTTAGGCTTTCTGAGTTTGTCAGAAGTGTGTGTGTGTGTGGTCTCTGCAGGCTTACGGTGTCGGGGGCATGAGGAAGAGACAAGAGCCACCTGCCCTTGAAGATAGAGACAAACCTTACGTCTGTGACAGTAAGCAATGCAGCTTTTATTTCTTTGTTCCTCTTTCTCCTTACTCTTTTATTCTTAACTTACACATACAGAAAACAATTTTTTACACTGTGTGTGTGTGTTGCAGTCTGTGGAAAACGCTATAAGAACCGTCCAGGGCTGAGTTACCATTACACTCACACACACTTGGCAGATGAAGAGGGAGAAGAAGACTCGGAGCGACACACACTACCCTTTCAGCGCAAGAACAACCACAAGCGTGAGTCTGGTGAAACTTACTTATAGCCATCCAGCTGTCCATCTTCATCCATCATTTACTTCATGTGGAGAGTTTTATGGGCCAGCTGATCCTGGGTCATTAGGTACAGAACAAACCTATAGTTTATGTTTAGCTCTGTCGTACCAACAATAATTAATAATCTGAATATTATCAAGAACTATTGATTGTATTGCAGTTCCCCCTGCAGCATTATAGATAGTTACAGTACTGACTGAGCCAAATCCAAAGTGTGCACTTGTGTGGTTGAAGGATATGATTTCTCTCAGTGGAGTACTGGGTTTAGCTGATTTCTTCAGCCCTCATTGATTCCCTTTTAAGCCTGACACAGTGATGCAGGGCAAAACTGTGGAAGATCAAAATGGGTCACCGTGAATCCTCCGACTTGGCTTCTTGACCTGGGTTAAACAAAGGTCGGACATTAGCTTTGGTGAATAGGCTAAAAGTCTAAAAAAAGAGTTAGAAAATGTGGAGAAAACTGAAAACTTAATAAGGTAATGGCATAATGCAATTCTGTGTAATTCCATTGTTCTGCAGCAATGTGTTTATGCAGCTACAGTTGTAGATGGGCGCTTCTGTAGTGACAGTGACAACAAGGATTAAACTGTCACTGCATCAATCAGGGGTTCCACATGCATTAAGTAGTGCCTCTCTCAGCATTCGAAGTATTTTTACTCTGATTGTCACACTTTTGCTTGTTTGCTTGTTGTTTCCTGTCGAGAGCCAGTAAATGTGTAATAAGTCTACTGCAGGTTGCACATGACACCAATATTTGCATGGTTGCCGCAAGGCCAACTTAGCCAAAGGGTAATTTTACCTTTTCTTTTTCCAATGCAGCATTTAACCTTTCACTGTAGCCCAGGGCTAAAGTCACCGTCAGACCTCTTGTATTAAAGGTCAGACAATCAGAATGCAGAATCAGCTGCCAACAAGCACAGGGAATCATATAGATATTTGTCTTGATAAGAAGATGATGTAGAAGGACAAGTGAGTGTGGCAAGCATGCTGTATGATGAAATGCTGACTTCACATTATAGAAAAAAGGATCAGCATTGATCCAACATTGATGAAAATGTAAAAGTCTATATCATTCCGGTGTTTCTATGAGTCATCACCTATCTGAGTTAATGTAACGTATCAGACAGTTTCAGTCAGCTCAATGAGGTAACAAAAAGCTCTTCAATCAACACTCGTCAGCTCTAAATAACTATCAGTGAACAAACACCAGTTATACACTCTTCTACTGTACCTTTCAATTTACATCACACACACAGTATGGCTGCAGCGATCAGCAGCTTAATGAGTATCCATTAATGCACTCATCCAGAATATCATGAGGTAGTAATGAAGACCCACTGTATTGTTTGCTAATGCCTCCAGCACTTCTTGCCAGACAGTGTATGTATGTAGATGGAGGTTTGGGTGTAGCATATTCCACTTTTATGCAGGAGACACACCTGCACTTTTCTGGCCTTTTTATTAAAGCAGCAGTAGGCAACAATTAAACACACAATTCAAAACCTTCCATGTCTCTCTCTGCTGCTCGTATCACTCTGCTAAACCCCTCCCACCAAACCCACAAGATGGTACGGCAGCAGAAGGTACCGGTTGCTCTCCGAAACCTCATCCCTCATAGGACTCGCCCTCCATGGCAAGGGCCTCACCAGGACACCAGTCCTGCTCGCCACAACTCGTCTTCTCAAAGAGCCAGGGCAGAGTGCTCCAGGCTTCAGAGGCAGCTGCAAAAATTGATATGAGCGCCATGGCATACATACTGAGCTCGAAGCTCTGTGTGTTCACACACGTGTTTTGCACTACACGCTGTTGTTGGCAAAGGAGGGATATGCAGTTCTTTCATTGTTGATGGTTGTTTCTCCGACATTGTACTTGCAAAAGCTCCTCCTAAAGCCATGTTCTGAAATATTGAGCTTGAATAAGTGAGAGCATGCGCGAGGAAGGTAGCTGCGCAGTGTAAGCACGACACTGTGTTTGACACTGCGTTAGAGACTCCTCCTGGCTCTGATTGGTTGTTTTGATTCAGTGGTGGTAGATTCTTACAAATGGCATTAGGAGCATGAAGAGGAGGCAGAGACCTGATATTCTTTTCACAGATTATCTGTTATATGTACTACTGTCAGGATATAGTGACAGTTTCAGCAAATATGTAACATTTTATAAAAGTTACCTACTGAACCTCTAACTGTAACCTCGATCATTTCCAAGATCTTTTCACAATCTTCCCCCTGACATTAAACATTCAATAGCAGCTAAATAAAGTAAGAATTTGAAAAAATATTTGCATTGGATGTTAAAAAACCATGTTATTAATTGTTATCCAGGATTTAGAAACAATTAAGATTCTCTGGCGATGAGTCCCCCCTCCCCTTCCCGCAAGGTGCTTGAAGAGCGCTGTCGCCTTATGAAAGAAGAATACAATTTGCAAAGTTATCATACTATAGAAGTTAAACATTTTATTAATGATGGCTCCATTCCATTTGGAATCCAATAAAATGTTAAAATAAAACACCATATACTGTACCAACCATGTCTTGGCACTGCATGGGATAATATAATGGAATGTGGCCACTAAAATTGTTATTACTTACACCTGAATTTGACATGTTATAATGCCCATCATAAAAAGGCTCAGGGACATTAATTCACACTGAATATTGGTGTGGATTTCACCTTACACCACGTCATTCCCTGTGGGACTTTTGGCTTATATTTAATAAGATAAACTGCAAAAAGTAAGTATGAGAGTTATTGAGTTTTGGCAGACTTCCTGAAGCTTTAAAGGGGCCTGGTGAAAAACCTGGAGGGATGCAAGTGTGTATAGGCATTTAAACAGTAGAGCATGATTGTCCAAAGATCACTGGTGCAGTAAAAAGCATTGGTTTGTAGCGTACAGTATGTATAACAGTACTGCAGGTTGTAGGGATCCCAAGACTGCACTTAGTGCAGGTCTACAAAGGTTCTGCAAAATGTATCATGGGCACCATAAGAGAGCAATAAATGCCAGTGAACAACAAGGAAAGCAAAATATTTAGGTTTGAATCAGACCTCAAGCCTCCCCTCCTGTCAGCTGCAGCATCCACACTAACCAAATTGCTCAATGTCTTTGTTTCTTTACGGCAATTTATTTTCTCCCACAGGGCCAGTTTTCTATCAGTGTGTGGTTTTCGCTCTGTGTTGTCTTCTGTTAGCTTCTGAACGCTTCTTTTAAGGACAATAGCATGCATTTATCCTGCGAGAGATTGTGTTTTGGCCGCTAATCGTCAGTAAAATTGCTACAGTGGTTCATACTAAAAAACAAACAAACAAAAAATAAAAACAAGAGATATAGCTGTGGACATTTGAAAAGGGAGCGCAGACTATTCATCCACTGTCTTTGTTCCTCCCAGTCTTAAAACAAGCAATTTGCTCAGAATAGAATGCAGATAAACACACACATTCACATTATCTGTGAATGCTGCACTACAACAATGTCCACACTGAAGCTATGCTGCCTCTCAGTTAATTGGCAGTGTGTGTTTTTAAATTGGCCTGTCTGACAGAACAGACTGGCCCTGTATGTGTGTGTGTTTGTGTGTGTGAGGCCATGCTGCAGTCTTAGGTCTCTCCAGTGGAGGAGAGCAAGAGAGACAGCATTTGAATCGTTTAATATCCCCCATCACTCCCTCCCAAACAGTCAGTAATCGCACAAACACCACACACACACACACACACACACACACACACACACACACACACACACACACACACACACACACACACACACACACACACACACACACACACACACACATACACACAAACACACACACATACACAGACAGCCTCCGAAAATGCAATCTTCTCTGCTGAAATGAAAAAGGAAGCTTAGCCTTTTGGCTTGGTGTGTATGCACACATGCGCAAGTGCACATGCATTTGCAAGGCTCTGTGAGTGTGTTCATACGTGTGAGTGCATGTGCATTATTGTGTGTGTGTGTGTGTGCCATTATAGCTTTCCCCAATTTGCTGAGTGTCATGACTCCACCACCCTCCACTCTCCACCCTCCACCCTTTGGTATATTGCCACATATGTAATGATATTAATATGGCTCCCCCAAATGAGAGCAACCCTGCATGCATAATTAATGCTATATTCTGGCTCAAAAAGCTGTCTAGACGCTATAGTATGCTGCATCCACAACACAAGTGTGATCGGAAACTTATCACAAAAACTATGAAACTGTCTTTTCTGAACCTTATCAAGCTCCATTCTCTCTCCCTGTTTTTCCATCAGTGTGATAAATGAGAGATTATTCCACCAGGAGATGAGATTTTCCTTCCCTCTCCTTCTCTTCGTCCATCTTTCACCACTTTCCTCTTCTCCTTTCGCTCTCCATCCTCACTTAACCCTCCTCTCCCATCCTTCTCTGCCCCTCACTCCATTCTCTTCTCTCTTGTTTTGCTTCATCCATCATCCTGCTTTGGGTTTCCTTTTAATTTATTTCTTTGTTTTGTGTCTACACTCCCCCCTCCCCAAATCATTATCACCAGAAACAACCACCACTACTAAACCTCCCCATATATCTGGATCCCAACTGATATACTATTTACTCAATATAAGCAGCGCCATTAAAATTCATGACTGCACCACATACTATGTTTTTACTCTTCTTCTACTTATTTTCCTCAAGAAGATTGGAGGTGGAAGGGAAAGGAGGGAAGGAGGGAGGGAGGGAGGAAGGGAGAGTTGGATATGGCGTGGGGAGGGGGGGTGGCTTTTTGGCGTTGATGTGATGGTGGGAGGGGTGGGTGGAAGAAGAAGAGGAAAAGGAGGCTGAGGAGAAGTGGATGAATAAGGGGGATGTTTACTTTAGAGGTTGGCCATGCAATGTCCACCTGAAAATTGGTTTTATGGGAAAGGGAGAGAGAGAGAGAGCAAGAGGGGAGGGAGGGAGGAGGTAAATGAGAAAGAGAGAGCAAAATAAT